ATATATATATATATATACACACACATATATACATACATATGCATCAGGCCATTTTAGATTAATATGCATTAGATCCCACATAATGTTAAAAAGTTTAAATAGAGGTAAATCAGGGGTAAAAAAAAATGGAAATGTAAGTGGTGCTACAGAACAGAACAGATTGTATTCCATCTGTACGGGTCAGAGGGCAACACGCAGACTCAGAGAGAGAGGACTGAGGCTGTGGGAACTACTCACAGGGAATGGTGCGCAGGTAGAGGTTGTCCCTGATCACCTGCTGGAGCTTGTGGTCCAGGGAGCCCTTTTGAAACTGCAGGCTGAGGTAGTGATGCAAATCTGTATTCAGCACCTTACCTGGGGGGGAGGAGAGAGAAATCTGCATCAGACTAACAAATCAGTCATACAGATGTTCTAAATCACACTCATTTGTACAACAGGCTTTTAAAACATTAATTAAAGCCTAAAACTGATGTCCAGATGCACTCGTGACTAAACACACTGTAGGACTGTTGTGTCATGACAGCATGAGCAGCTGCAGCAAAGTCAGAGGAAGTGTTGACTGCGTTCCCCTGAGTGACAGACTGTCAGAGGGATGAAGAAAGGAAGCGGAAACAGAAAGAATGCCCTTGTGTTTGCAAAGGTAATGCACATCTTCTGTGTGAACTAGCTGTACGTGGAGAAGAAGTTACCTTCTGAAAAAGGGACAGGTAGGACATGCTTGGAATATGCTTTCAGCTACAACACTGGCACTTTATGCTAAAACTGCATGGGCAGAATAAACCCTGCAGCTGGCCACAAACACTAGTTAGAAACATCAAACATCTTGTTTATTAATGGAGTCAGTGCACGAGCATTGGAGCACCCTCCTTCAGCCATTATTTTACTGTTTCTTCAATGTTTGGTTCACTACTCTGACCACAGCATGGGGGCAGTGTGTTGACCTTAGCAGCAGCAAAGACACAATTCAAAAAACTACAAGAAATTTTCACTTACACGCAGTGACTGCTGGGGTGGGCGATATGGCTCAAACAAAATATCGTGATATTTCAGAGCATTCTGACGATAACAATAAATTTTGTGATATAACAAAAAAAACAGAAATCATAGTTATTCATTTGACAAAATGAACATGTTGCTTTGCAGCATTATAAAAAAAAGTTAATTTTACTGCAATTACTTTATTTAGTAAAGTATTCAGTCTCAAAGTATAACAATAAAAAAAAAAGATCTTTCTGTGATTTAGATTGAAAAAGTCTGCACAAAATATAACAACAAAATCTACCACAAAAATTAAAAAGCAGGTGCAGTTCCCAAATAAACTAAATAAAATGAAGATTAAGTGGAGGAGTTCAAATATCTTGGGGTCTTGTTCACGAATTATGGAAAAATGGAGCGTGAGATCGATGGGCGGATAGGCGCAGCGTCTGCAGTGAAGCAGGCGCTGTACTGGTCTGTCGTGGTGAAGAGAGAGCTGAGTCAAAAGGCAAAGCTCTCAATTTACCGATCGATCTACGTTCCTACCCTCATCTATGGTCACGAGCTTTGGGTTGTGACCGAAAGAACGAGATCTCGGATACAAGCGGCCGAAATGAGTTTTCTCCGCAGGGTGTCTGGGCTCTTCCTTAGAGACAGGGTGAGAAGCTCGATCATCTGGGAGGGACTCAGAGTAGAGCCGCTGCTTCTCCATGTCGAGAGGAGCCAGTTGAGGTGGCTCGGGCATCTGTTTAGGATGCCTCCTGGACGCCTCCCTGGTGAGGTGTTCCGGACACCTCCCACCGTGAGGAGACCCAGAGGAAGACCCAGGACACGCTGGAGGGATTATGTTTCTCGGCTGGCCTGGGAACGCCTCGGGATTCCCCCGGAGGAGCTGGACCAAGTGGCTGGGGAGAGGGAAGTCTTGGCCTCCCTACCCATTTACCCATTCATACAGCACTCTACTAGATCTCTCTACAAAGCTAATTGAACAAATCATTCTAAAGAGACTAATCAGAGCTTTAGATCGCATTCATACACTGATGGGACACACATCAGAGGCTATGAGGGGTTCAGTGTCTTGCCCAGGGACACTTCAGCATGTGACTGCTGGTGGTTTCGAACCCCCAACTCTCGCATTGGAGGATGACTGCTCTAACCACTCAGCCACAGCCGCCCCAGGCACAAATTGTAGTGAAAGAACTTTGAGTATCTCCATAAGATAGAAAGGCGCTATATAAGTACAGTCCATTTACCTTTAGTCAGTGTTTCCCCTACCATTATATGAGTGGGGTGCCCTGCCACATCAACAGAACCACAGCACAGTCTACCAAACCGAACTGCGTGCACCCCTCCACCATCCGTCGGCATTGATGTAGCTTCAAGTTAGCAGCGCACCAGCTAAAAAGCTGAAGATAACGTTTTCCCTCACACTTACCGGCTTGAAAACTGTCGGGACAAACAGCGCTCAGCTGTGTCTGTGTCATCCCCCCCGCTGTAAAACAGTGCACAGCTCAGCTCTCTCCGTTCATGCCTTCACCTTTACAACTTGAATATCGCTGCATGACCCACGTGAGCGTAATCCGCTGTGTGTTGGGATGACATATTTATGCCATGAAATAGCATATCATGATATCTTTTATTTTCCTGGGCAAGTTTTTTTTTTTTTACCAGTATTATTGTGAATGATATGATATGGCCCAGTCCTAATGGGCACCAGTGACCCCCGCGACTTTAACTCAAATGTGCATCTCAGTGAACCATAGCTATTCTTTTATTTAAAGTGTTGGTCTTGTTGTTTATTTTAAAGCCGCTCAAGTACGGAGCAGAGTTTGTTTGTTTTATTTGTGTTTTTTCATTCAAGCTTTATTTATACATAATCAGGAGTATTAGAATTGTTAACTTTTTTTTTTAGGATCTAATATTAGTTGTAAATACTTAGAATGCAGTATAAAGTACAATATTATATGCTAAAAAATAGGTTCACAAATGTTTATTGTACTTACAAGGTAGTAACTCAGTCTGAAATGTTTAATATAACAACTCTAGATGAAATATATAAGTGAACAGATCTAGCTCACTATTTGGCAAGAAATTGGTCAGTTTTGTCTACGTCACCCTTAGTTAATGCATAATAAGCAAGTAATGATTTATAAAGTGTTTATAGAGGAATTAATAACATATCTATAAACTATTTGTTAGCATCTATAGGGGAGCCTTATTGTAAAGTGGTACCATCAGTTCTACATAAAACACATGACACGCGTGATAACCAGACAAAGTTTTTGTAGAGCAACTGCTTGAGATTTAATTTTTACTCTGCAGTTCTGTCTTACCCAGTCGTGTCAAGTAGCGAGAGACATGGTTACCATGGTGACCCTTATGACTCACTGGCAGCAGCTGTAAGTTTTTCCCTCCAAATGTATTTAAAATGTCTCCACAGTAAGAATTTCTGCAAAGATGATTCACTCATGTGTATGTGTGTTTGTGTGTGTGCGCGTGTGCAAGTCAAAGCCAAAGTAAATGGTTTCCGTTTATTTCTGCCGGAGTCTCTGACAGAAGCATTAAGATCCTGCACATCCTCTCCAGATCAGGAACTGTTGACAAATCACAGCTCAGCAGCAGCAGGCAGTGAAAAATGACAGTCTCTTAATGAGATCTGCTTTAAGCTTCAAATGGAGCGTCAGTCAGCAGGTTCCTTCCATCAGGACACCTGCTGAGATTCTAAATACACAAATGTGCTGAAATATATTTCATCGTGGTGCACAAAGTTTGGAGTCAGTGCGCTGAATGCTCAGGTGCCCACCATTCTCTGCATCCTCTGAAGCCATTCAGGTTTTCCTTTGACATCCCTCTCCCTGAATATACTCAGCTGTATTTGAATCTTCTCCTCACTTCAGATCCACTCGCATGTGCACACAAAAGTGGGTTAAAAAAGCAGAAATTGGCAGTCAGAGGTGGAAAATGCTCTTACTCCGATGCGACAAAAAAGGAAAAAATAAAAATCTTTGGTGAAAGCAATGACATTCTTAAAGGGTGAGCCGTTCAACACACTGTAACAGTTCCCCTGTGGAAATACTTTTTACGTTGCAGGTTTTCAGCAGACAGGTATGAAAAATTTGGTTTCAAGGAAATAAAAAGCGGGCAGCACGGTGGCGCAACTGGTAGAGATGCTGCCTCTCAGCGAGCAGGTCCTTGGTTCAAACCCCGGTCCGGGGGCCTTTCTGGGTGGAGTTTGCATGTTCTCTCTGTGTATGCGTGGGTTTACTCCGGGTACTCCGGTTTCTCCCACAGACCAAAAACATGCATGTTAGGCTGATTGGTAACTCTAAATTGTCCCTAGGTGTGAGTGAGAGAGTGAATGATTGTTTGTCTCGTTTGTCTCTATGTGGCCCTGTGATGGACTGGAGACCCATCCAGGGTGTACCCCGCCCCTCGCACAGTGATTGCTGGACATGGGCACTGGCAACCCCCGTGACCCAAAATGGAATAAGCGGGTAAAGAAAATGGATGGATGGAAATAAAAAGCTATCACCAACCAAGGTAAGAACGTTCCAAACTGCATTCATGTTCAGCCTCTAAAGGGGATGAAGTGAGCGCTGCTGTGAGCGCACTTCAACAACATTATGTCGGTCTGAAATCTGTCAAACCAGAGTCCTGAGGATGTATCTCAAGGTAGCATTCCCACTTTCTTACATGCTAGGTGTTTAGCACAACTCAACGCTCGGGGCTTTTACTTTGCAGTGTGCTGATGTTTGAAGTTGTTTAGACTGAACTAGTTCAGGAAGTGGTGGTGCTGTAGAACAAAGTACAGCATGGCCCTTCATTATGTAACTCCACAGAGTTTTAAGTGGTGCAACAAATTTGAGGAATTCAGGTCAAGGAAACAAAAGCTGGGTCTGACTATGCATCAACTCAGAAGCCACAAGCCTGTGGTTTGTGTTCCCAGAAACTGTGGGACACACACACACGCACACACGCACGCACGCACGCACGCACACACACACGGACCAAATTCAAACACAAAAACATAAACCACATTTTCTCTCAATGGCTGTTCCCATGTTAAAAAGATGGGTTATTATTTATCCACCAGGGACACAGCGCCTGCAGAGATAAGCTGGTTTCTGTTTGAGTAGCAAAGGGGAGCAATTGTTACCAAGGGACTCCTGCAACTAATGGTAGATACCCCACTGATAGAGTAAAAATCAATCCTTATTTCTTGTGTCTTCATTTATTTTTGAACAAATGCAAATCACCTCCCCCATCTAAAGCAGACTCCTACTCAACAGTGTCTTCTTTGTGGCCCGCCTGTCAGATTGCATTAGTCCACTAAATCATATCTCCAAAGATGGGGAGAGAAAGGGGGAGGAGTGGCAGTT